AAGCTGCCATGGTTAACGTGGTTTGAAACGCATCCAGATGAACCCGTGTGTTTTCTAGATGCTTGATAAAGTACCGTGAAGTCCCTTTCCTCTTTCCCAGACTCTCCTTTTCCATCACCACCAGTGCAAAAGCTCTGAGAGGAGCTCGTGCAGCACAGCTCCTGCAGTTGGGCATGTTTGTCCAGCACGGACACGATGGGCTGCAGCATGGGAGAGGGCTTTCTGTTGGAAATTGCCGGTCGGTAGGCTTTGTTGAGCTGTTTTCTGTAGGACGTTAGGAAAAGCTTTTTGTCCTTTTAATGCCATCTCTTATTTCCAACCTCCTTTCTTCTGTTTTCTGCCGTCCCCTCCCTCAGACAGCTGTGGTCGACTCAAGGTGCCTGCAGCAGGAGAAGCCTTGAGCACTGCTGCATGCCAGGGAGACAGAGGAAAAGCTATTTCCCATGGGAAGTAATTGATAATTGAAGTGATGAAAGATGAGTGTGATTATGCCTGGCACCTCCTGGTGCAGCTGAACTGGTGGTTGAACTTTTAGTTTCTCTTTCTGTTCCCCAAAGCGATTTCTGGTGACACTGTCATGTGTTTCTGCGCTTGGGGAGAAGAGTTGAAAACCAGCTCCTTCCTTCTTCTTGTCCATGTGTCTTCCATGTGAGCGGTGAGTGTCAAGGACTGCTAAGAGCTGCTCCATGTGCTGGTCTTCCCTCCATTCCCCTCTTTGCTTTTATCTGCTCTCCTGTGTCTCTCTCTTCCCTCCTGGTAGGAGCAGGGCTGCTGCCCGTTGTGCTGGGAAGGTACAGAGGGCAGACTTTAATGTCTCCCCACATGTCCCAGACCTCTGCTTTCAGCGTAGCCAGGCACATGGTGCCCCGGGGACGAGTGAGGCTTTGGTTTTCTACACGGGAGATGGAGCCCCAGAAGGAGCACTGAGTTTGGGGTTCTCACCCTCATGAGCTGCCGTGGGCTGCTGGTAATGCGAAGACCTGGTGTGTGGGACATGGCGTCAACAGGATGACAGATTCACCTCCGAAGAGAGGAGTAGGGCAAAAAAAAGTTGCAGACGAGCTTTGTGGGTGCTTGAGGAGACTTTCTCTTTGAGCTGACCGTGTGCCATTACACCTGCTAATTTTCCCAGATTTTCTCTTCTGTCACTGACATCCTGTCTGGTGGCTGCCCATGCAGAGCAATCTGTGGCATCATCTGGATAAGACCTCAGAACGTCGCTGTGGGAGAACTCGAGTTTATCATAGTTTTATATTGGGTTTCCCTCAGCGTGTAACTGGATGCATTAATAGTGACATGATCCCGGCGTGACCTGGACTTTAATGGGTTTGAACTTGGAACTGCTCAAACATTAAGAAGAAGCCCTCGCTCCCTGCGTGTATTCAGCAGCTGCTTTTTTATATGCAGAACCCTGAGCTGCAAAGGTTCAATGATGGTGTATTTTCAACTTTCAGATGAAAAGGACTTAATAACTGCCAAAAACTGAGCTGTTTCTCTCCTGATGCAGATGTGTGACTGCCAGGACACGCATACATCAAAAAGACAACGTGCCTCTGAGCAGTTGAAAAACCTACTGCTTTGTTTTGTTTTGCTAGAGGCAAACAAAATGTCAGCCCCCTCAGTCCTGGGAGAGGGCTTCTGCTGGCAGCGTGTGCTTCTCCTGGGGCAGGGGCCTGGCAGCCGGGCCCTGGGGCTGGTGCCTCACCTCTGCAGCTGAGTCACTTCGTGGCATGGGGACTGTTTGTTCTGGACAAAGCTTTCTTAGTTTGTCTTGACTTTGGACGTTGCCAGCTGTGCATGATGTACCATCCAGAACAGGCTCTTTATCGTGTGTCAAAACTTAACTGTGGCAGCAAAGCTGACAGTTGCTTTTGCCGTCTGCACCGGGAGCCAGGTAGCAGGTTTGACCCCTCAGAGGGATGTTGCAGGGTAGGTTACCTGTTTGTTGTGTGTTCAAGCACTTCACAAAGGTACTCATTTCTCCTTTTTTAAAAAGAAAACAAAACCTCTGCAAGGCCTTATTTTCTGCTGTTTTGGGAAGCGTCCTCCATTCCTCTCCAAGTTTCCACTTGAGATTCCGTGTACAGTGTTATTGGCTACCTAAAACCAGATGGGCATAAGGGAAGGGCTGACACGAGTCTGGCTGTAGTGAGATGTGCAGAGCCCTGCAGTAATGATGGGGAGGTTCACCGCCAGCCATCAGAGCCATTTCATGGAATGATGGTGGACAGACAAAGATGTCTCTTTGGAGAGCCAGTGACAGATTTACTGACCAGCAGTTCAGGCTAGATTGCCATTTCTTTCGGTGTTGAGTTATTATTATCAACTTATTGCACTGTTAGATGAGCGCCAAACAAGTCACGTTGAGATATATTGATGCTAGAGGGAGGTGAGCCTGCTTCTCCCTTCTCTGTGCTTCTGAAAGCCAAGGTAAGCGTCTGCTTCGGGGTGTCCACTTCTGTCACAGAGTAATAATGGTACAATGGTTCATGTGTAATGCTTCTATTTTACTAGGGATGTAAATCTTTGGTCTATGGACCACTGCTTCAGTTCAGATTTTTCTTTAAAACATTAATGAGCGTTTGGATTTTGGGAGAAAAAAAATTGCAAGTAATGATGACATTGTGTAAAAATGTAGCAGCTAATGCATATGTTCTGTTGGTTTGCCTTGTCTTAGAGGAACATCATTTTTGCACATCACTATTAACAATGCAAACACCCTGAAATGCTAATAGCACTAGTAAGCTTTTAATTCCATGGAATTTATTGCTTGCTGTATTTCCATGAATTTATAACGCTTTGATTCTTAAGAGCCCCATTTAATCAGTTTTGCCTGGCACAGAACATAATAAACAACTTGCTGGTGCTAAAGTGCCACATGGGGGAGGCTGCTAACAAGAAAGTTAAATGCTTCTGCCACTAGCAGTTTCTTCGCTGTATTTTTCATGAGCTGTTACTACCAGTAATGTACTTTGCTAGCTTTAGAGCAGTGGTTAAACACAGTGACAAACCAAACAGCACTCCAGTGCTGTAAACACCCAAAGCAATACCATTTTTGTGCAGAGCTACAGATAAAACCAGACTTGAGGCTCAGCATCGTGTTGGAGTGAGCAGTGATTTTTGTACAAGGCCACGTTTTTCTTGTGGGACTTTTAGGAGTAAGTTGTGGATGGTATTGATCAAAGAAAACAGCGTGGAGAGAGAGAGAAAAAAAGAAAAAGAACTGCAGTGTCTTAAAAACCAGCTCTTGTTTGTTTATGCTGTTTGACCATAAAAGTATAAAAAGACTGTCTTAGAAAAATACCAGGTCATTGAGTGCTTTAAAGCAGAAAATGTCATTCGAGTCTCAAAACTGCACCAACTTTATATAATTACCCTTTTAATTATCCCCAGTGGCCCATGAAATTTGTAAAATAGAGCATTAAGAGTTTGATTTACTTACATGTTGCACTTTAGTGTTATGCTCTTAATGAATAATGTTTAGTACTAATGTCAAGCAGACGTTGCTGAGTGCAGTAGAGAGGTGCGTGGTGCAGAGCTGGGTGTTCGGAGGGGAGCTGGGGAGCCTCCACCTGGAATGGAGATTGCTGTATGTGTGTCAAACAATATGCTGCGATTTCAGTTGCCTGAATCAACTCTATTGATTTTACCCTGAGTGTGCAAAGTAGTTTGGTATATCTTCTTCATTGAACCATGCCAGGGAAACGACTGTTCTGGGGCATTTATTTAGTACTGGAGAGCTTCCACACACGTCCAGGTGCTGTGTCAGCTCCTTCCTTGGCATGGGGGATAGTTGTGGCATTCCTCCAAGGGACCGGGGCATGGAAGCCAGCTCTTAAACTTTCTTTAAGGGCTGAACTGGTTCAGTCTGTGCTAGTGGGAATAACTCTAATCAGTGTTCGGTGCGCAGTTTCTGTGGGGTATCCAAACAACATCTGCTGCCAAGAAATTGCTAGAATAAGCTTTGGGAAAATGTAACGCAAAGCATGGTCTTACAGTGCAGCTAAACTGAACAGGTATCTTCAAAGGTGAATGGCAGCATCAGTGAGCAGCGATGGTAAAAGAAATGAAGCAGAGTCTGAAGGATTGGATGGTAGGATATAATACCTGGTGACTTCTAAGGTATTGGTACAAGTCTGAGTGAGGTGGAGTCTCACAGCAAACGTTTGCATTTGGACGCAGTCACAAAATGCCTCCAGGGATGGTCTGATGCTCAGGATTCACCTGCTGAAAAGCTGGGGACAGCTGAGAGCACGGGTGTGCGATGCTCAGAAGGATGAGGTGATCTCTGACCTCATGTGCCACTTCCTCCTTCCACTGCTGGAGGCAGCACATGGTCTGCTAGGTAAGGGCAACATGCAAATGCTGGCATGGTGCTTTGGCATCCCCATGATTGTACGTGATCAGATGCACTCAAACAAAGCCTGAGGATTTACTTTCCTCCCCCAAAGTTGTTCCAGTTCTCCTGTATTGACTGTCACAACGTTCTTGGTATTGCTCTTACCTGGACGTGCGGTGCTTTCGTTGTCGTGCCAAACTCCAGAGCTCTCATGACCAGTTCATGTAGAGTTATCTTTGTTTGTTTTTCCAGTTTGTGAATATCCCTGTGCATTTAGGATATTTGTCGTTGGTAGTCAGTGGTGCAGTTGGAGGGGAGAGACAACAGAAAGCGTGTCGTTACTCAACTTTCATGTCGTTAAGAAGAAAAGCTTAGTTCAAATCCTGACTTAAATAAATGGCAGAAGCCTATTTGCATCCCTAAGATGAAGATTTTATACTGTGATTTTTTTCTTAAAGTAAACAAGGGTTATATGTTTGCCGTACAGCTAAAAATTGGAAAGGCAAAGTTGTGTTGGTTGTTTACGGGAACACGTTTCAGGAAACGGATCTCAGGAATTCTGAAATTTGAATTTATTTATGTTTGAAAAGATCTTGTTTAAAAAAAGCTCAAGGGAGCAACCTACGAAGAGGCTAATTAAGCTTTTTTGTACAGCGCTGAGCACAACGGGGCTCCTTTTTTGTTTGTCCCGAGGCCCTGCAATAATAAACAGAATTACTGCTAATAATTGGGAGGCTTTATTTGAAGTTGTGCTGACTGCGGGACGCGGGCAGTGTCAGTTTTCAGTAAGTGCATCAAGGCTGACCTTGAACTCGTGTCTGCTGATAAGGGCAGTGCAACAGCCTGCTGGTATCTGGGAGTGCGTCGCAGCGCTCAGCATTGCTGTCGTCTCTGCCAGCCTTTCTCCTCTCCTTGTCTCGTGCCCTTTCTGCGGCCACGGCCTGCAGGAGCCAGCCCTGGTGCAAAGGGAGGGCTGGCAGCTGGCAGAATGCTGTGGTAGCCCAGGTGCTCTGCCGTGTGCCGAGCCAGGCCAGCCGTGCCGAATTCAGGAGGGGAACATGGAAAGATGAATTTGTCGCAGCAGAAGCGGTTATTTTGGCTCTGTTTTATTTCACGTGCTGCGCGTTCTGTCTCCTCCAGCACCAGGCATGGACGTGTCACTCCCTTCCGCTCGTGCAGCTTTTCAACGCGTGTGGCATCGTATCGCGCCCCGCTCTGCACCACGAGATGGTGGAAGTCGGTGAATTTGTCTTTTTTTTTTTTCTTTTGCTACTGAAAGGGCTGGAAGTTTGCCTGAAAACCAAATTGCGTGGCAGGAGATTACAAAATGGTTAGTTTCCAAATCTGATTTTTCCCTTGTGAATTTTTCTTGCTCGCTCAAAGACAAGATCCATCTTGAACAGCTCTGACTGAGGTGGTGCTAATAACCATGCTGGAAAACATCCTGTGGCTTGTAATAACAGCGGGCTGGGAGGAGGACTCAGGGCCGTAACAGGGAGACCCTGGGGGCAGGTTTTCAGGAGAAGTTTGTGCTCTTTCAGTCCTCACCTCAGCTGCCTTCATATTGACACACGAGTGTTGGTGGGCCGTGGGGACAACCCGGGTGGTGGCACTGGGGCAGTCGGGCCCAGCTTTGGACTGCCCCAGCACCAAGCGTGGCCGCGGGTTGCCGTCAGCAGGCTGAGTGTAAGGGATCATCTCCTTATTTTGTGTCTGTGCCTCAAAACCTGGGCGAGAGTTCACAGCCTTTTGGAGCCACCCAGCTGCTCTTGCATGGTTCTGAAAAAAACAAACAAACAAATAAGAAACAGTCCAAAGGAAGCAGAGAACTGCCAAACCCCAATCTATTAACTCTGTATTGTGTAACCTATTAATTGTGTACTGTCCCACCTATTAACTTGGTGGTGTCCCTTCATGGTAGCCTCACGTCACAGCTGTGGACATGAACGTGAACTCTCACCTCGGAAGTAACTGAGAGTAAGTGACGTTTTTGCAAGGCTGCTATATTCCTCTCTAAAATTGGAAACGTGAAGTGGAAGGTTAATAAGAAGAGAACCCTCTGAACCTCGTGGTTAGACTAACATTTAGCCACCCAGCTGAGGAGGGATGAGGGAGCCGAGCCAAAGCAATCACAGGGAGTCCAATCAGATCACTGTAGACATTCTTGTTTTCAAAGTTGGTAGGAAATGGTTTTCTTAGAAAAAATGGAATTGATGTTCTTTTTCACTGGAGGAGCCAGTTTTCTGATCTCCAGTCAAGATGAGGAGCTTGTACTGGCCTTGAATTTCAGGGCTCTATTTCACTCTTCTTCATGAATTGTAGTTTTTACGCGTGTTGGCAAATCATATATATTTACAGTAGTGCACGCCATTTGCTTTTGAGGAAAGAAAGGAAGAAAGAAAGAAGCTGTGTTTCATTTAAATGCTCTTTAGATGCCTTTGCATATGCTTTTGCATACTCTTGATCAATCTTGCATTGTTTTATGTGTTTGTAGCATTTTTCTTACACTTTGTGCAATCATTAGCATTAATGGGGATTTGCGAGTGTAACAAGAGGAGAATATACCCCAGAGTGTGTTACTTAATTTCCCTTTGAAGTGGAATGAAGTTGTCCAATTGGCCATATGCTGTGGTTTGCCATAGTTCCGAGTAGTTTCTGACTCCTTGTAGAGCAGGTTAATCTCTCTTAGTGAGCCTACGATTAATCGTGTTTGATCCTATATGGCTCAGATATGCACCTTTAAAAGTACCATTAAACTTCTGAGGCATCTTGTTTTAAGCCAGGAACAATAGTTGCACAATAGAGATGCACAACAACCATTTGGCCCTGCAAAAATTGTGCACTCACATGATTAGTGAGGCGTGGTATTAAATTATTTGAGCTTCCTGCATAAATATATACCAAGAGGAGCCTTGTAACTGGAGATTTCGAATATAGTTTTCCTCTTCATGGGAGGAAGCTGCTGTACATCAGGCCTGGAGCATTCCTGTGGATCTCTGCCCAGCTGAAGGTCTGTGCTCCTCGCCTGTACTGCGCTGTCCCTCACCCAAAGAAATGCCTCCTCCTGTTTTATGGGTGGACTTTGCAGCTCGGTTGGAAATAGAAACGCAGTAAACAGCAAGTGTGCCTCAGAAATAACCCCAGCAACAGAAACTGTCACTATTTCAGCTTCTTTCCAAGGCCCCTTCTTGGGGGCCTGATGTGCAGCTGCATTACAAGCGCAGTAACACAGGCAGCAGTGCTGGCCCTGGAAAATATTGTGGTACAGCGCGCAAATATCTGTAGAACCTTGTTTGTGTGTATGTGTGCTTATGTTTAAGATGCAAACTTGCATTTAAGTGTGCTTGGCTCCCTGCAGTATATAGCTGCAGAGCTATTTCTGAGATCTTGGAAGAGATGGGTTTGTAGTCTGATGTTTTTTACTGTGTTTTTCTTGCCCTGGTGTTTATTAACATCTTCCCTGATGCCCAGTTAAAAGGGATGGCAGCATAAAAGTTTACGTGAAAATACATTTCTCTGTAAGTGCTCTATTCCTGTGATTCCTCTGCAGCTTTAAACCAAAACCAGTTCCATCCTGTTTCATCTTTTACCCCTCAGACCCGATAGGCAGAGAGGAGAGAGATTTTGCTTCCCTCTAAGATCTGCCTCATCCTTTCCATTTCCAGCCCTGGGTTGCTGGCTGGAAACAGCACTGCTTGCAGTGGCACAGCCCTGACTCTGCCTTCTTCCCTCTGAACCCATCTGCACATCTGAAAGTCTCCTCGGTGACCACTGGTGACTCGAAGCACTGAAACAGGAGGTTAGAGTCAGGGCCAACGACCGTCTTTTCTGCTTGGCTCTGCCTGTGCTGGGTCCGGTAGCAAGGCTCTGGCCACGGTTCAGTGCATTCAGGGACATGCTGGACATGAAGGATTTGCCTATCACTAAAAGAGCTGCCAGCATCAGTGGCAGCCAGCAGTGCTTTGGGCCAATTGCATTTTGCTGGGCAGAGAGCAAAAAGAGGGCAGATGGGAATATGGAAAGCTTGCTAGGCTGAGCCAGGAAGGATGGGAACACTGGGCTGCTGAGAGATGGGTCTGTGGCAGAGGGATGCTCCATCTTCTGGCTCCTGCTCCTTTTCTTAAGGGTTTGGTGTAGCTCTGTGAGCTTGGAGCCACTCCTGCAAAACAGCCATATGGCAAGGGCTTTGTCAGGGGTGTGCACCCTTTCTTGTCTAAGTTATTAATGAGGAGGTTTAGTAATTGCTTCAGAACAGGTTTGGAAGGTTCTGTTGTAATGGCTTTAGTTAGCTGCATGGCCATCCACTGACTTCCCTTTGTCCCCTTTCACAGCTGAGTGTGTGGGATGCACCCAAATGCTGCCATGAAAGCTGTCTCTGTCCAAAAGTCTGCTTCCTTTCCCTTGTAGAGCTTTTTCCCTCTGCAGTGCAAGCAGTACATTTACCACATTGAATTTCTTAGCTTGAATTGTTTTCACAACTGGGCTGATGCCTTTGGTTAGCCAAATAACCTGAAAAGCCAGATTTCATATAGCAGTGCCTAAGCAGAGCTGAAGAACTGGTTGTGGTTTCTTTTCCTATGCCAGCCCAACAGGGCCCCTATGCCCTTGCATTGCCAGAGCTCCAGCAGGTCCTGGGATGTCTGGAGAAGCAAATGTGGGAGCTGCATGCACCTGAGGGGGGATTCCTGCCAGCATGCCCACAGTCATGCTTAGCCTCTGGTATGTTGCTGTGACACACAGCATTTTAGGAGTGCTAATTATGGTACCCTAAGCACTGAATATATGCTGTCTGCCACTGTGAAGACAAAAAAATACAGTCCTTTTCCTAACCACTTCAAAAGGCAATCTGCTTTCTGCTTAATTTCTGCTTAAAAGGGAGCTGTTGTGAAGAACACAGTTGTCTTTTTTATTTTTAATTGTTGCTTTGTTGTTGACTTTCATCTTCTTTACTGAGAGGGAAGTGCATCTACGAGCATTGAAATGATGGTAGCTGGGAAGGAAAGGGTAAAGCCAGGAGTAGGTGCAAAGAGTGTGTTTACAGCTGCCCCGTGTCCTGTTTTCCTCTGCTCTGGGTCTGCTTTCCATGAATTAAACCTTTTGTAGGTGAAGCAACCTCTGGAAATGTTCAGGGTTGAGGGTTTGTGTAAGTATGGGTGCATGCCTGTGCACATCTGTTGACCTGTGATGTTTTGTGATTGTTAGGAACCTTTTGGCTTTTGTGAGCACTTGATACCACTTCTCTCCAGGTATTTCTTTCTAACAGGCTCCTGCTGTGAGCCACTGATGTTGGTGGCTTGGTCACAGCGGGAGCAAAAACTGCTTCTGCGTGGTGCAGCGCAGTGGGAGGGGATGTGGCCTTGCAGAAACGTGGGGCTCCTTCTAGTCAAAAAACCAGCCTGTAAAAATGATGAACTTCTCTTCTGCCGTCCCAAGGTCTGACAGTTTTGTATAACTTATGAATTAAGCATCTGGGAGGTATAATATGTATTTTTTTCTGCTAACAGTCACCAAACCTAAGGCAGATAAGCTGTTGAATAATTTTCAGTCATCCATTGACACTGAAGGAAGTCGGAGCAGATCCCTGGAATGTCTGTCTTAACAGAAATGGCTGAATTGCCATTAGTGTTAGCGAGATCAAGGTGCCACCCTTGGCTGTGCCTTAGCCACGAGACTTTAACCTTAAACTCCATGCAAAACAGACAGGACCTTTAGTGCAGAGGTCTCACTGGAAAGATCCCGGCAAAGTAAACAGCGTGACACTTAATTTATCTACCCCAGGAACATGAAGGGCTCAGTCGACCTGATGGGATCTGTGGTTCCAGGGAGTCTAGGTATTTAAAACCTGATGCTCAGCCTGCTAAGCCATCCCCTGCAGCTTTCCTTAGTGCATAAGATATGAAAAAATCTCCTGTCCTGCAAAACAGATATTAAATTGGATACTCTTTCCCCCTGCCATGATAAGAAACGTGGCAGAGAGATGCGGGAAAATGGAATGCTGCTTAGAAAGAAAATATATTTGAATCAAACATAAAAATTGGCGAGATAGGAGGATTTTCAATGCTGGTAGCAATACCCTCCCCAATGACTTCCTGAAAATTCAACTCTCCCTGTAGTTTTTGCACTGGATTGTGAATAAAAATGGTTGTGATTGATGAAGCGTTTGGTGTCTCACTGTAAGTTGGTCAAGAGGGACTTCTAAATCACCCAAATGAAATATTGCATTATCATGAACAGTAATATGTAACTGTTAAGTATGCCATTGCTTATCATAAGCTCAAGCTCCTTCGGAGCTCTACCCAGCAAGCAATCCGCGAGCGCTGGAGCAGAGCTGCCATGCCTGGCCCCTCCCTGTGGGACGTGTGAGATGGGGCAGGAGCGTCCTGCTGCACCTGGGGGCTCCTTGAGGGCAGTGGGAGGAGGAGGGGTCTCTGCGTTTTGGTTGTTGAAGAGGCTGGATGGAGGAAAGGGCAGCGCGCCTTTGTGTGCTGGAGGGCACGGGCTGTGAGTTGGATGGGGAAGCCTTGGCCGTGGGCTCCTCGCTTCTCTATTCGGCCTGTTCTGTTGTTTCACTACATGTTGGGTTGACGGTTGTCAGGTTTTTTGTGCAAAGCTTTTCACTAGTTCTGTGCATAGGATAGACTACGAGAAAACACTGCTAGCGTTTCATGGAGAAACCAGCATCATAGCATCAAAAAAGCCCACGTTTTTTTCTAATTTCTTTGCTTACACCAAGAAATAGATCAGTGTTGTTTCTATTTAAAAATAGTTTTGTTTTCTTTTAATAGGTTTTTCTTGGTGAAAAGCCCTGTTGTTCCTCAAGTGAGAAAATGCCAAGCTGGTCGGGCTGAACTTATCTCTGTCTAGAAGACATAAAGATCATAAAGACCAGGCAGCCATTTCTCAGAAAAGGATTAGAGAAATAAATGCTTCCTGACTGTGTGGAAACACATTTAGAGCCAGGTGGTTGGGAAACCTGAGGATTTTCCATGTTTTGGGGCTAAAATGTGGAAATGTGTAAAGTGATGTGGTAGTAAGAAATGTGGTTTAATGGGCAGCATTGTTGGTAGGTGGATGGTTGGACTGTATGTGGTCTTCTCCATCTTTATGACTCTGAGATTGCAATGAAAGCATGGACTTTGCTTTGGGCATAACTTCCCTATTTGATCTCAGGTTGGTCAAGCTGCAGATCTACAAAACATTCCTACACCTGAACTGGATGAGAGCCTCAGGCTCCTCTCTGGTGGACAGAGCCCTCCCCTGGAACAGGCTCCGTGCTCAAGCAGTGGCAGTACCTCTCCTCCCTGCCTCCTTGTCCTCCATCCTGAACCCAGCTTTGGGATAACGAGTGGGGCCACACAACAGCTCCCACTTAGGGCGTTCTCACCCTTCTTTCCATGTCTGTTCAGTAGCATGGGGGAGCTCGGTGGCTTCTTGAAGAATGGATGTTTGCCATGGGTAGCTCTGTGGTTTCCCTGTCTCTTGTCTCAGGAGCATCTCAACGTTTTGGGCTGAAATGTTTTACAAGAATTCGGCCTGTGGCAGAATGCCCAGTAAGGAAAAGTTCAGTGCAAATGATTAACATTTGGCAAATTCAGTAATAGCTGAAAATAAGGTCGTTAAGATGGGACGTGTTGCATTTGGTGGTTAGTGGTCACAGCTATGGGATACGTATCTGGAAATGAAGGGAGGCACTGCACAAGTGTGCATGTGCCATACTGTGAAATACTAACACACGAGCAGTGTAAAGCTCAAGAAAAGCCTTGCCCTGCCTTGGACCCTGCTGGTACCATCTGCTCTGTAAGCAGTTGTTGCACTTGGGACAGAAGAAAAAGAAGTTCTTCTCTTGCACGTGGGATGCACGTCACTGCTTGCTTCTCAGTGGGCACGAAGTCCTCGGGGTTCTCTCCACATCTCCAAGGTATGGAAGACAATTTTTCTTGCACCGATTTTATCATGCATTTGGATACAGACTGCACTTGGCTGGGTTGGGGCTTGCTGCGCAGAGCAGCCAGCCTGGCCAAAGGTCCCCCATCTCAACTCTTGCACTGAAGCTGAAACATTCATTAAACTTCTGTTTGAATAGGAAAGTTTCACATTTTCTTGACAGAACAGATTCTGTGGCTACTAATTTATTACTGCAATTTAAGAAACAGACGTCTGTCTGACATGTGCCACGTAGTTCGATAGGTCACCAGTGACATCATACTTAAAATCGTTATCTTTGCAAACTGTGCATTTTGGGTAAAAGCTTTTATTTATAGTCAGTCATTAAAATTGAGACCTGATATTTACTTTTCCTCTGATTAGGTTAAAGAGTGAATATGAACAGAAAGTACCCTTCTGTTACCACCAGGCAGTTTACAAACTGCTATTCACATGCAGCCTTTTCAAAGGAATCATGTTAAATCATTATGGGCTTAGATGGTATGTTTCAGTTCGTACTTTTTTTCATTGCTAAGGCTGATCTGTGCCATAAGGGATATATTTTATTTCCTCCTGGTCCTGTGTTGATTCTTGTCCTTGTCACAGAGCAGCTGGAGGCTGAGGTGGAAGTGTCAGATTGGAGCCCTGTGCTGTTTCCAGCATTAAGACACTTTGGGGGTCACCTCCTTCAGCCGAGCCCCCAGAGCCGAGTGGCTCTTTGATGGCTGCAGTGGAAATGATTTCTGATGAAAAATCATACGTTGCAAGTTGGCAGCGCTGCCCAGTATACTTCCTTAATATTAATGATTTCCCCCGCGCCCCCCAGATCCTACAGCTAAGATCGGTGGCCCATTTCAATTTTTATTGAAACAAATAAACCCAATAAAAACACGCAGAGAGCTGAAGCTCCTCGATAAAAAAAAAAAAAAAAAAAGTATATGTATAAAAATTACTCTGCATTGAATTTATTGATTTATTTATTTACTCCAACTAGAAAATTGAGTATTGTGTTAATGTATTTTATAAGACTCACGGTGCTCGATGAAATGGCTAATTTATTTTAGCGTATACATAAATAGCTGGCAATTTTCAGTGAGACAGCCTAATGAAAATGATGCTATGAAATTGTCTATACTATGAGGAGTGATGGAGTCAAGTTATTATTGGGTGAGTGCTGCGTGGCAGCGAGCTGGCCATCATGTCTTTGAACTTTTGAACTGCTACTTGGTCGTGTGATTGATTGGTTTTGGGATCGGCGCGCCGAGTTAACTTCGTATTTTGGTTGGGGGAGCAGATAAGCAGCGCGCCGCGTGATTTTATGGATGTTTAGTTTAAACAAGATGGTTGGAAAATTTAAAGTGTGTTAGCAGAACAGGCTCGCGCTATAGGGGAAGGCAGAGAGATGCTCGTAGGTACCATTAGATGTCAACACTGATGTTGCGATTGCTGCAGATGAGCTGAGTACGAGCGAATTTGGCAGGGGCAGCATGCATCATATTTGTAAGAGGAATGTTGCCTTTGTTCTGCACTGAGTGTGCGATCCCGCAGCGATTTCGCCCGCCTTCAGCCTCCCGTGGCCGTGCCCACGCTCTGAGCGCTGCGCCCTCGGCTCCCGCCCGGCGCTCCGGAGCTGTTTGCTGCCCGTGGGCCGCGGCTCCGGCGGCCGCCTCGTCCCCGCTGCGCGATGCTGCACTTGTTCCCGGGCTTGGGCCGTGATAGGGCCGTTCGGGCAGCGCTGCTCGGCTCCCAGCCTTCGCCGGCTGCAGAACTTCTGCGGGAACCTCTGCGCGGCGAGTGCGCCGAGCTCTGCTTCTGATTAAACCGAATAACTCGACACCTGCATTTTACCATTTGCTTCAAGTGCTTTATCCCGTAAACCCGGCGATTTCCGAGCTTCGCAGCCCTCGCTGCGCACAGCCCGTACCGCTGCGCTCCGCGCCCGCGGGCGGACCGCCGTGCCCTGCCGGCCCGCTGCAGCCCCCGGCCGGGCTGAGGAACGCGTGCGGGCACCCTTTTGTTTTTTGCAGGGATGAAAGTGACATGGCTTTATTTGGCTCTTCAACGCTCTTCCCGTGCCCGAGCCGTTTGCAGCAGGCTCGCAGCGAGGCATTTGGAAGCTGCTAGCACTTGCCTCTGCCCCCCCAACCCCCCCCCCCCCCCCCCAATATATATATATATATGTTTTTTTAAAATATATATATTTAATTTAAAAAAAACCCAAAGCCCTAGAAACAAAAAAAACACGGCCTGTTCAAACCAGAAACCAAAACTACTGGAACAGGCTAAAAACGGGGCTGACACCAACACTATTAGCTGAAAAAAAATTTCCATTTCATTGCAACTATGTTATTGTTTACTTTGCCATACACATCCTAATATGGTTACCTCCCTGTCAAAGCGGCCGAGCCGGGCTGAGGGGCCCCCTCGGGGAGACGCTTCCAACTGCTGCTCAGACAATAAGAAACAAACGGCGCAACTCCACAAAAGGCTGCCCGGAAAAGAAGTGTCAAATCCATCCCGCGGAACTCTTCCCGCCGCCTCCCGGCCCCGCGTGTACGTAAAGCTGCGCCGGGGCGGCCGGGCCGCGGGCTTCGCTGCTGGGAGGGGTGTGTGGGGGCTGGGGGGCGGCGGGGCGCGCTTTTCTCCTCGCTCCGCTCCGCGCTCCGGCCGCGCGGAGCCGAGTGGCGGCGGGCCGTGCTGAGGCGGGCCGGCTTGTGGCGCCCCGCGGCGGAGCGGCCCCCCGCCCGCAGCGCCCCGACACACAACCTCCCTGTCAAAGCGGCCGAGCCGGGCTGAGGGGCC